TATGATGTTATTATGAGGATGATTTGTGAAGTGTGTATCATGCATTCATGTGCATCCGGACTTCGGTTCAGGACCTCAATTACTTTGGCTTCAATCCCACTGTGCGGATGTGAAGTATTTTGATGTGCTCCGGTTCTATAGTAGAATCGATCCTATTGATGGGGATCTATGGAGGGTTGATGGCCCAGTGTCCATCGCGCTGTGATGATTGGTACCACATGCATTGAGCCTATGTTGCATTTGCATTTATGAGCCTTTGTGTATAAATTATGACGTTGTGGCCTTTGAGGCATATTTGAAGGATATCAGTGTGTTGAATATAATTATGAGTAATATGTTGTTTATGCATTAATTGTTATACATTGATTATTATGAATTGTTGTACTCACCCTACCTGTTTGAATGTTACCTCCACGTGGGTAACGTGCAGATAAGCAAGTTTAGTTGTGGACGCCGTCAAGGAGTATTTTGAAGTTTTAGAGTCGTTAGCCTTTATGGTTAATTTAGAGGGTCTTGCTCTGATATGTAACATCGGGTTGGGTTCTTCGAGTTGATTTTATATCATTGGGTTATTTTACTGATGTTCCCTTTTGAGGAGAAACCTTGATTTATGCTTTGAGTTTTGTTGTTTTATGTTGTTTGATGTACTTTGAGGAAAATCCGTCGTTACGGAGTATTGACCAATTGTGTTGACTTTGAGAAATGTACGCCCTTTTGTGGCTTTTTATGAAAGTTAATATTTAACTCTGAAATCTGTGTTATTTTTCCGTAATATCTGTGGGGTAGAATAAGGGTGTTACAAATTCGACAAGAAAGGATATGATTTCAAAGGAGAGCAAAACATCCTAAGGGTAATGAAGGGGTCGAAGGAAGTCTTGAGAGGCGTGAAGAAACAAGGCTTGTATACCCTTCAGAATGAGGTTGTAAGTGGTTCAGCAAATGTGGAATCCATGAAATTTGTGTCAAAGACTGAGCTATGACACAAGAGACTTGGCCATATCAATGAAAGAGGCCTGGTTGAATTGTCGAAACAAAATCTGTTGGGTGGTGACAAGGTCAAAAAACTGGAGTTTTGTGAACCTTGTGTATTTGGTAAATCCTATAGAATGAAGTTTAACAAAGGTAAACAAAGAACGTGTGGATCCCTTGATTACATTCATGCTGATATTTGGGGGCCTATAAGGAATCCTTTACACTCAGGTGCAAAGTATTTTTTATCCATAGTTGATGATTACTCTAGAAAATTATAGGTATTCATCCAGAAGACTAAGGATAAAACTTTTGGAAAGTTCAAAAGTTGGAAGAGATGTATACCCTAAAGGAGTCAAAGCTTATAGGTCGTGGTGCCTAGAACCAAGTCACAAGAGATGTATCACAAATCGAGATGTAATTTTCAATGAAGTTGAGATGACTTTCAAGAAAACCGATGACATTGGTCGAATTTTGAAGATCTCTGAAGATGAGCTGGAACAGGAAGAGATTCCTATTGAGGTGAAGCATACTGATGCTGAATTGCATGACCCAGATAAAGTCGAAGAAGAAGCAAAAGTTGTTGTAGAAGATGAGGAGACTGATAATGAAAACATGTTGGCAAGAGACATGTCGAGAAGAGTCATTAAGCCACCTCAGAGACTTGGTTATGCAGATCTCATAGTTTATGCCTTAATCTCTGCAAGTGAGGTTCTTGACGAAGAATCTAGAGACTATAGGGAAGTTATGAGGAGTCGAGATAAGACTGAATGGATGAAAGCCATGGATGATGCAATTAAATCTCTATGTTTAATAAAACTTGGGAGCTTATCGAAAAACTTGTAGGGGTCAGGTTAGTCAGTTGTAAGTGGATCTTCAATGTTAAGGAAGGAATCAAAGGAGTGATATCTAAGGCAAGGTTGGTTGTTAGGGGGTTTACTCAAAAAGAAGGTGTCGACTTTAATGATGTGTTCTCACTTGTTGTAAAGCATAGATCCATTATAATGTTGTTATCCATGGTGGAAAAGTTTGACCTAGAACTTAAGCAGATGGATGTGAAGACAACCTTCCTGTATGGTAATCTAGATGAAACAATCCTGATGAGACAACCTGAAGGGTATGCAGAAAAGGGAAAGAAGATTATGTGTGCAAGCTGAATAAGTCTTTGTATGGCCTGAAACAATCTCCTCCACAATGGAATAGGAGATTCGGCAAGTTCATGTCATACATTGGTTTCACTATGAGCCAGTTCGACCGTTGTGTTTACTTCAGATTTTGACATGGAAATTCACTTATTATTTTGTTGCTTTATGTGGATGACATCCTCATAGCAAACAACAGTGTCGAAGATGTTACGAAGGTGAAGGATGAACTCGATAAGGAGTTCGGCATGAAGGATTTGGGAGCTGCCTCAAGAATTCTTGGGATTGACATCCGGAGAGATAGAAAGTAGTCGAGGTTATACTTATCTCAAGAGACATACTTGAAGAAGATTTTCGACAAGTTTAGTATGTCAAATTCAAGCATGTTCTAACACCGACTAATCCTCAGTACAAGTTGAGTACGAATCAGAGTCCTAGTACTAAAGTCAAAAAATCCTATATGAATAGCATTCCACATGCTAGTATAGTAGGTTCTTTGATGTATGATATGGTCTATACGAGGCCAAACATATCATACAGAATGAGCCTTGTAAGTAGGTATATGATTAATCCTAAGAAGGTGCACTGGCAAATATTAAAGTGGATTCTTAGGTACATAAATGGGTCTCTCAGCCGAGTCCTGATTTATGGTGGAGTATGTCGTGATGATAGCAAAGTTGAAATCGAAGGATTTTTCGACTCTAATTATGCAAGTTGTATGGATTCTAGAAAATCTATTTCTGGATATGTGTTTACTATGTTTGGCACGACAATCGGTTGGAAAGTAACACTTCCGAAGGTTGTTCCCTTATCAACCACTGAAGCAGAGTATATTGCTCTCACTGAAGCTGTGAAAGAAGCATTGTGGCTTGAAGGTTTTACTAAGGAGGTGAAACTTCAAGGTTGAGTTATCGCTGTTAAATGTGATAGTCAAAGCACAATACACCTGTTGAAGAATTAACCTATCATGAGCGAACCAATCACATCGATGTGAGGCTGCACTTCGTCAGAAAGATAATCGAGCGTGGAAAAATTCAAACGCTGAAGATTTTGACTAATGACAGTGCTGCTGATATGATCACCAAGACATTGTCAAGTAACAAGTTTTTTCACTGTATGTAGTTGATAAAGTTGCATGATGAAAGTTAGTTTGTTTCCTTGTTATACAGTTTGTTCCAAGAGTTGTGTATGCTGTACTCGAAGTCTGTTCGAGCATAATGTTGAAATATATTAACTTATAATTTAAGTTAGTATGTCGAATTGAGTCTTATTTCTGAGCTCAATTATTAAGTTAGTTTGTATCTTAAGTTAACTTAGTAATCTATAAATAAATTAGTTCTCTCAACGTGTTGATGTTGAGAGAAGTTAATTGTTGATATTCACTTGTAACCTTTGAACCCTGATTGAGAAAGTGAATAAAAAAACAGATTTAACCAATTCTTTTTTTTCTTCTTCCTTCTTCCCTTCTTTTTATAAAACAATAGAATTTCTTGTGTTTATTCAAGAACTCAATTTTTTTCTCATATTTTAATTTGTTTTTGACAATATCAATTCACAATAATTTTATAATTATTATTTATTTTATTTTATTTTATTTTTTATTTTTTATTTTATTTTATTTCATGTTTTATTTTTTGAAAATATTTCTAAAATAAGTTATTTGACTGCAAAATTTTCTAACTATAAACTGCCATGTTTTTCAAATTCTTGTTGCAATGGAATGCACATGATTCTTAATTTTCTTTTTTATGAGTGACTTTTATTTTAAGTTATTATTAATTAATCTCTTTTAGTGGTGTCATAGAAGAAGAAAAATAATGTGCACTGATCATTCAGAAATATGTTTATTTATTAAATATACTTATTAAAATTTAAAATTAAGAATTTAATTAATATACACAAATATTTTACACTTAGAATCAATTACTCATAATTTACACTAGTTTATCTTGTGATATCAGAATATAATTTTTAAGTTAACGTATAACACAACGGATTAATAAATTTCTATTAAATGACTTATTTTACAGACTTAATATATATTAATTAAACTCTAAAATTAATTAATAAATAACTTATTATATTAGAATTTAAAAAAATGACGCTTTAATCCATTAATCACGAAGTTTACAATTGCCGAATTGTTAAATAATGATAAATAAAAAACTGAGTTTTAAAATATGAACTCAGAGAAAAAAGTGCATTTTAATCCTATTTATTTTTATACTGAACGGTGGTGCGGTGGGTCGCTACGCAGTAGCTAACGGCACCGGTGATGGCGACACAAACGCTTAACCCCTTTTCCGCATGTTCTATGCCTTAATCTCACTGAATTTCTGCAAAATTTTCAGGAAACTGGTAATTTGAATTTTCAATGTGTGTGAATGATAAGAGAAGTAAAACCCGTAGTATGCAATGCTTTTGCTGCAATACGTTTCCAATTAAAATTTGTTTTGTATTTTGTGCATTTTTGTTGTTGTTAGTAAGCGTGGTTGTTCTTTTATCTAGAATTGTGAGAAGAGTCTGGGAGAAGTTACCATTCTTGGGTTGCACACAAACTGTTTGATTAAATTCCACCTTGCATAAGTGTCATTCTGTTTCAGTTACGCCACACCTCTTTTTCTATATTCCTTTGCTCTGAATTGTGATTTTGTGATCAACTTGCAGGATGCATGCTTGCTCAAATCACAGGAACACTTTGTTTTATGAGTTAATGGTGTAGTTGTAGCAACATAAAAAAATTGTTATGTCTTCTATAGTGTTTTAATAGTTTTTGTGGCTTTTGAAGGTTTATATATGTATCTTGTATATTTTAGCGATGAAAGTTTTGATTTTGTTTGACAACTTGCTAGTTCATATTTTATCAGGTGCAAATCGGGGTTCTCTACCATGAATATTGATAAATTCAAGCAGGACGTTGATGAACTTATCGCTCAATTCTCACAGGTAATGCCAAAATCTCTCTATCATCATTGTTTTTCATTATTGTGTTGGTTTCTTTGTAAATTCAACGTGCTTGTTCCTAGGGTGGACATGGTTTATTTTTTGTTTTTGGTTCACAACCAATATAACTTTAGAGTTGCTTTGGTACTGGTTTGTATACCTTGCATTATATGAAAGTTTCGGTTTGCATATATCCTATACAGAAGAGAGAACCTAGCCAGTATTGCCTGGTTTATGGTTATGTTATAGTCCTACTTGTTTCTTTGTATTTGATTAGTAACAATCAGTTTTTGCTGTTCAATTTTGGTGAGTAACAGGATGAGTCAAAAACTTTGGCTGATATGAAGAGAGTATGGATTTCTAAGAAGTTTTCCTACATTTATGAAGCCAGTCCTTCTACCAACTTGGCCTTCTTTATGCAGTCTCTATATGCTCATTGTATAGGTACGTGTTTCCCTGAGATATGCAGTTCTGATCTTTACTTAACTATTTTTATATCTTAAAATAATAAACGCAAGCTTTAGTTTTCTGATTTTTTCCGTGTAATTTGGGCGTTGAGTTGCTTTATGCAAAGCATCTCTATAAGTAGAAGGCATTGAAGCAAACATAATTAAAAAGCACAATGTATTGGTGAAAATTCAGCAGCATTCAATAACGTTGTGATATTTTAGAGGTGTTACTTTTGGTTTTATCTATAATTTCAATGTAGAAACTCCTTTATATTCTTATGCAGGTTACATCGTTAGCACCGCCGGTTCTTTATCACACAGATTGGGTGGCCTTTATTGCCTCTATTGTCTTTACGAGACTCAACCATTCAAACCTACTTTTAAGGTCTACATATCCCTTGGTATGCCAATTTTTACTTAAATCATAATCACATTTAGCTGTGACTGTAGTTTCTTAAGTGCCATACTATTGTGCTTGTTGGAAGGAATATATTATTTAGTTTGCTTGTAACATGAAGGAGAAGATAATTAGTTAACGTGAAATTAATAATAATTAATTTAATATGAATGAAAACTTTGAATGCGTGTGGTTTTAGGAGAAGGAGATGATTTTGTGTTTTAATACTCGAATTTGTGTGTTTCTACAGGAGAGTTAAAGAATCTTAGAACTCTTGTTGTTGATGCAAAGGCAAATGATATTAGTGTGGTGCCTGCTTTAGTCAAAAGAATGCTGGAAAGAAACACATTTCTTTTTGGTGCTGTCGACTTAGTGGAAAGTTCTGCCACAGAAACAGTAAATCAACTCCAAAATTTACAGAAGGCTCGTATTCAAGTTGCATACAAAAAGTAAATCACCATATTGAACTTATGTTCAATATCCTTCTTTTCTTGTGTGTTATCCTGGCAGTGTTTTAACCTAACAGCTTATTTGTTTGAATGTGTTCCTTGTTTATGACAGGTTGTTTGATAGCACGCAAATTGAAACATATGTGCGCATGGACCTTGTAAGTTTCCGTTGTGTTTTTTACTTACACGATGATTTAATCGGTAATCTTTTTAATACAAGGTATTATTATCCAGTCAGATTAACATTAGAAGACGACAACAACAACAATAAAGTCTTTTCCTACTATGTGGGGACAAAAATAATAGTCCATAATCAGTATTACCATTTATGTGAGTGTTTAGATAATCAACTTAATCGAGCCCTCTTCAATGAGAACTGATCATGAGAGCTTGATTGTTGGTGGTGGTTAAAAACTTATTTGTTGGTAACTGAACATGATGAGTTTAAAGTACATGATTTAGGCTTTAGCATTCTAATGGGTCCGAGTCTTATAAGAAGTTAATCAGAAGTTAATCAGTATCTACGTAAATGTATATCATTTATCTCATACTTTAAGCATGTTTTTATATTAGTGTGATTTATTATCACATAACTTCCTTTCTCCTTTCCACACCAGGGAATGGAAGTAGACCTCAATTTGCTGAAGCAAATGTCAACTGAATATGCTGAGGCCAAGAATGTAGCGATTAAAGGTATTTGTTCTTTTTGTACTCTATATTATAGGTGCTTGAGACAGGAACACTTTCTATATCTTGGAAGTATTTTTTTTTTTTTTGTGAAGTCTAGTCTGTGTTTTCCCTGTCATCTGAAACCATACACTTATGATAAGTTTTTTTTTTCTTCTTTTCTTTCTGCCTTCTCCCCAGAGAACTGCTTTATATAAAGACCTGTAAATTCTTGACTTGTTCAGATCTAAACTAATGTTTATTTTTCTTACTTAAACTAATCTTGACCTAGACACATCAATGGAATAAAAAAAAAAGCTACCTACCAAATGTTAGTGAAAGAAGTTTATTTGGAATGTATTTTTTGGTTTGAAGAATGACAACTTATATTTATGCTATATTTGAGTTGATGCTATTTTTTTTCTCTTTAACATGACAATGTCTCCAAATTGAGTTGATGCTAATTTTTTTTCGCTTTAACAAATGACAATGTCCCAGTCTTAATTTCTTACATTTGAAACTCTTGAACCTTTCTTTGGGATCTTTTCTAAAGTTCTATCTAGTTGTTACAATTTGTCTAATTCACAATACATTAGTTTTGATCATTGTCTATTTCAATTGATGTTTCCTTCTTTTTTTTCTTCTTAAAGAAGCAAGCAGTATATTGGATGTCCAAAACATAAAACACATATCAGAAGATAAGGAATTGATAGGAGATGTTGTGGAGAAGATTGCTGATGATTGGAACGTCCAGAAACAAACATTTTATAAACAAACCGGATTGGAGGAGGATGACGGATATGATCAGGAGCTGGAGCAATTTCTTTTAGATGATGAGCATAATGAATACTGAATACTAACATTTGAGCCATAGTTTCTAGCTTATAGGGAATTTCATAATACTATTAAGCCTAGTTTAAATTTGTATATCATTTCAAAGAAGCATGCATTTTTCAAGAAGATTTTAAGTATTCTGAAAGATCACATTTGAATACACACAAGCATTTAAATTGTAAATCTCTTGTGGAATTTCATAAAATGAGGCTTCACCAATAATGATACACGATTGACAATAATAAAACACAGCTAGTACAATGGATGTGAAAACAAATAAGTGTGAAATTAAACTAATGAAAATCCTCCCCTCATAATCTCTTCGTATACAACAAAAAACACAAGCACTATTTAGCATAAACCTATTTTAAAATAACTAACAAGACAATAAACTAACTCATAACTCAATCTGAACTTGGTGAACACTGTGTCCGTCTTGTGGTAAATAATCTATTGCGAAACTCAGCAATGCAGAATCATTATCATACTCGAAATCTACAACATTGTCTTTCAACAAACACCTTGTTGGTCTAATCGAACAATAAGCGCCAAACTTGCCGCACCCTTTAATCTCGAAACGAACAATGCCATCATCGTACACGAGCCTCTCAACCGCTCCACCAGCATTAAACATGTTCACAAGCCCAATAGGAGCAAACCTGTGTCCATCACCACCCAAAACCTTAATAGGCGCAACAGCAAATATCTCATGTTCCAACACCTTGAGTGTCAAAGGCATAGCAACATTATGAGGAAGAATCACAAGCTCACCGGAATGGTGAGCATAAAAGGCACAGTCACCATTCCAATCACCGTCTCCGACAACAGCCTCCGATATGAGGTGAACATCACGACCTCTAACATAGCCAGTAATAGCAGCAGAATCCTTTTGGTGAAAAGCATTCTTCTTCTCAGTACCACTCCAAGCAGCACCTTGGCAGTTATACACTCCAAGCACCCCGCCATAAGCATTCATGTTCCATATCTTAAGCAAACTCACCCCATCACGCGCCGGATCATTAAACAAACAATCCGCAGTAGGCCTTCCGGGCAAACGAGCCCGTAACACAGACCCATCAGGCAAGACCATCTTTTTCAACAAATCATAGTCATGATTCCCAGGCTTATCACTAACATAAACAGGCCCGCCACTTATAGCCCGGGCTGATGCGTGATACTCAGCCGCGGGATGAAGCGAGTGAAACATATCCCAATCTGGCTGCATAATCTCTCCAAGGAAAACACTATTGTAAGCAACAGAAGCAATGTGGATAGTATGCGAAACCGGATCACGCGGATAGAAATCATCAGAAGCTCTAACAACAGCAGTTTGTTTCGAATAATACAACGCATCAGTATTGTGGCTCATGCAGGCGATGCAACCGTTATCAGAGAAGTTTCTAGAAATAGAAGCATCCAAAGCCTGATGGTACTGTTTGGTAATTTCAACTCTACCACCCAAGCCCGCACCAAGTGTCTCCAAAACACACTGCACGTCAACTTTAACACCGTCGATACCGGCCCCCGAGAGATACTTATGTAAATTATCATAGAAACTGAAAACCTTCTTTGGGTTCACTAAACCCAAACCCTGAACCGCTAATGGATCGGTTTTCCATGTTGGTTCATTCTCTCTAACTCCCTTTGAAATCTCAGGGTAACTCATCACTGAACCGTATTCTTCCATTTCCAAACCCGGTCGAACCCCTCCCCAATAACCCGTTATAGCGTGCCAAACGTAAACGAATTTCACACCGTGTTTTTCTTTTGCGATGTTTACAATGCTCTTTATCCCTAATTCTGGATCCTCTTTGTTTTGAAAGTTAGCGTTTTCTTTTATCCCCGTAAGCCTCTGCAACGATGAAGAATCATCACCATCGCCGGCAACCGACTGCCATCCGTCGTCAATAATAACAAACTTAGGCGGCGTTCCGCCGGTGACGAGCGACTGTAAACCATCCTCCACACCTTCCTGTGTAACATCCTGGTAAAACGCATCCCACGTACACCAGCCGAAGTAGTCAACAATCCCGGGGAGTTTCTTCTCGTGACGGAGACGGAAAGTGTTGAGATGCTTCCTAACCGCCGCGAAAGCATTATGAATGGTGGCAAACGGATCAGTACCGGCGCTGATGAATAAAGCATGAGAAAACGACGACGTTTTGGTGTCTACGTCACCGCTTTCTAAACAGAGTTCAAGAGCATCGTTATAAGCGTTTCCTTGAAGACACGCTCTGAATGAACCTTCAATTAAAGGAAGAAAAATAGTGTAAATGATATCAGAATCAAGGTGGGACCCAGTTTTGGTTTCAACCAATAAAAACTGAGTTTCTAACGGAATTTCACTTCCTTTATCTCCCATTTTTTGTGCCATCCACCATAACTTGAAACGGAAACACGCCATGAATCTAACGTCCGTTAACTTTCCGAGAGAAACCACGTGCCTGCTTTCTTCTTTCTCCATTTCCACTCCTAAAAAAACTCCGTCCACCGGTCCAGTTCTCTCGGCCGATGTCTCCGTCACGTTGTCAGACACTCCGTTAAGAATAATCCGATCCTTCACCATCAGTTTCCCGTCGGAAACCCTAACCGCTGCTTTGATCGTCATTTCTTCAAACTCAACGTCTCTTCTCTGCAACCAATAACAAATTTCAAAATTAATCAAAATTAACGAAAATTAAAAAATCAAAATGAAAGATGAAACTGTAATAAAATCTATCTCTAATACCTTAAAAGATGAAATTAAAGGAAATGTTGGTTTTAGATATTGGTTTGTAAATTCTGAAACATGGAAGAAGAAATGGATGAATAAAATGCAAAATGAAAGAAAAATTAGGTTAAGATTAAGATTGAGAAGAGTGCGTACCAGAAATCGAGAGTTGATTTTTGTTCTTGAGATACAATATCGCTGGACTATTGTGAATGCGTTGTTGTAGGGAATGAAATGGAAGTTTGGTATTTATAGGAAGAGGGGAAGGAAAAGTATAGGATGGATTAAACACCATTGTTAACATGTTCCTTCTTGTTATCTTTCTTGTCAAACTAGTGACAAGAACTATCATACTCTGATTTCAACATTGAAAGTTGTTAAATGAATAAATAAATATTATATTTAATGGTTTTGGTCCAAGTTGATCTATGCCACGTTGGATCCACGCAAGTTATATTCAACTTGCTTACCTTAGCCTGTACTGGTAGTATAGGAATTAGGAAAATGTGTCATATTTCATGATGTTACAGCGGTGGACAGATGAATAATCTTCATTTGATATAAATAGTTTTTAGAATTTTTTGTTGAGATAAGTATAGTTATGTTGACTGTTGTATACGTGTATGTGTAGAAGAAATACCGTATAGTTGGATATTAGAGCTTGATTTGCGAAGCTTAAATACACAACCGCGTTATTTATTTGGTTAGGGTTAAGTAATGTAATAGTACTATTTGCGTATAAGCTAATGGTTAATGAAGAGGATAATTCCGTGGCTTGTTGAAATTTCGTACAATAATTGGGGTTGTGAACACGACATGGGCCCATACCTTATGCCTTATGCCATGAATGATGATATGAAAGTTGTTTGTATTTCTTTAATATAAAAACAGCTATTTTGACACTCACTTTTACATTATACCGTATGTACTGTTCATCAATACGGTGAACAGTACATGAAAAGTGTTACAATAGTATAAACAGTGCTCGTGAACAGTGCTCGTGAACAGTATTCGTGAATAATTTTTTAAATTATGAAATAAAGTTGGTTAGTGAGTATAAAAAGTTGATTAATGAAGTGATAAAGTTGGTTAATAAACATCCAGAATTAAAAATAATTTTTAACAATAAATAAAGTTGGTTAATAATAGGTAAAATGTTAGTTAATGGAGTTATGAAGTTGGTTAATCACACAATTTCATATCAGTATCATTTAATTTAAAAATAAAAAAAAAATATTTTTTTATATTTTTTAAAAAAATATATATTTAATTTTATAATATTTCACTGTTCACCGTATTGGTGAACAGTGAAATACGGTGTAGTGTAAGAAATAAGTGTCAAAATATCATTTCTCATATAAAAAGGATTGTTATAACTCACTCATCCATTCTAGCAAATTATTAATTTTTTTAAAACATAGATGAACTAAATAAACAATAAGAGCACGTTAAAGCATGTGTTAAAAAATTCGAATTTTGAAATTTAAATTAGTAAGTTATAGAGATTCAATTTTGGACGCATCTCAATATAATAAATATATGTTCAATTTCAAAATCAAATAAATACAAATTAAAAAAAAAAAGGATGTTAATGTCCGAATTTTTTACATAGATTGAAATTCTGACGTTTTTGTTTAAGTATTCGAACATACACTATTTTCTCTTTAGATGCAAAAGGAGATCACTTATACCATTATACTATAGTCAACCCAAGATCAAACAGAGCGAATATTTGATAAGTTTCTCTTCTTTTTTTAATTTGACATGCATCCATTACTTAAAAAACTTATAAGTAAGATACATTAGAAGATCTATTGCATGTCTAGTAGTTTATTGAGTGTCACATCCTTAAATGACACTAGATGCAAAAGGAGATTCTTTAATGTTAACTCATTAGGAGATTTTAAAAGAGGAGCAAGTAATGGTGAACCATGTTGTTAATGTGTTGCTAATATGTCATTATATAAAATGTGTGGTCACTATATGGACTTAGATGGGGTGTACCCATACAAAAAGTGGAGGATTTCTTAATGCACCATACGAAAATATTAAAATGTTCCTCAGATTTTAGAAATGCATCTTCGGACGCACCTAATACACACACAACATAGATCATTCTAAGTGACGCCCTATTATTTAGTTTTTTAATACTAGAGATGCATCTCCAGTATATTTCCATGGAAACATTTTCATAATGTATGCAAAGCACTAGCAGAGACAACAATAAAATAACTTGTAATTTGACAAAATAAAGTTAACATTTATAACATAAAATAAACATTACATAAGTAATTTCAACATAAAATGCAACATTACACTTCAATATCTAGGTGAACGCTTCAACATCTTCACAATATCTTCGATTGGTATTGAAACTGACGCTTCCAACTCGATTGGAACTTTTGTTTTGAAACATAAATATGTATACCACATAGCTTTTACATATGCATTCGTCTTGAGCTCAAAGTTGTTGAACTCATTTTTTTCTCTGTTGTCAATAACGGTGAATGGTACTCGACCTTGACAATTTTTTTATTGTCTTCAGGTATGAGATTATGGACTTCGTATTTTAGATCTTCAAGAGAGGTTTACTCGATGAGCTTAAACTTTTGTCAGGGTATCACGCTAGAGAATGAGACATTTGCAACTTACTAGATTATGTTTATTTGTGACATTTGAGACATTTTCAGTTTGTGTGAAATAAAAAACAGTAGCACCTTAATTTATAGAAGCTGTTAAAAAATGCGGACCATTCAAAATATGGCATGTTGACTCTAGAGATATATCTCTAGTTCCGCACCCTATTATCTTTTTTGAGAGATACATCTCCAAAACCTCTCCTGAATCAGGCATAAAACTGAAACTTTGAAAACAGAACTTAAGTGAAGACAATTTTTGACAAATGAACAAATGTTATGGGAAAGATCAAAAATGTATTAAAATATTAAGAAATTGAATATATTACACTTCATTACTATTGAGACACAATTACATACACTTAATTGTCCGGGTAAATATGAAATTAAAATCAATTAAAACATCTGTTGACGGCTAAATCTATGGGTGGCACCCCCTTTAACTTTTGAGCATTTAATTCTCTTTCAATGTTGCTCAATTCCTCCAACTTTTACATCTTTTCCACAAAATCGTTTGAGCAAGTCTCGACTTTTATTGTTGAATGAGTCATTCACTCCAGTGATATAAGTGGTATAGGGCATTATGGTTTCAAGTAAACTTGAGTAGAATGTCGTAATTTTGAAAGTCACCCAATACACGTAATACGATCATTTGGATTTTGAGATGGGGCAGTACGTAGTGGGAAAAAGACTCCGAAAAACTGCATCGTGTAAGATCAACAAACACTCTATCATACCACATGTTATGAGGTGACCTATTTCAGAGAAGCTCGTCCATTTAGCCTTCGGTGTCGGTCCATTAAGGCAAGGAACAAAAGACTTATTAATGTGAGAAATGAGGCTTGAAATAAATAATCTTTACCTGGAATTCCAACTTCTTTTTCTACCTTTGATGTGATGAGCCACAAGATTGGAGATTTGGAGTGAAAATGTGGATTGAGAATGAAAGAATTTTTGGTGAGGGCTTTAAGTGAAAAACAAGTATGATTGTGTGATCATGTTGCTCTGTCTTTTATCAAATTATTCTGGAGATATATCTTCGGAATAATCTGACATGCAAAGGTGACAGCAAATTTCAGAATCTCGCCCCAAACTTTCGAATATGCATCTCCGGAATATTCACTGGACTAATCAACTATGAATATATTTGTTGAAAATACGGGAGATGTATCTCTGATTTGTTCTTTTAAATATTCATCAAGGGTGTCATTCATTCGGTGCGTCATAACATTGATGAATGGTGCGTTCAGAGATGCATCTCTGAAATCTGAAAAGTATTTTTGTATTTTCGCATGGTATATAAATATTATCGTTGTTCCTTTATATAAGAGACAACTCATTTTTAGGTTCATTCATTATTGAATATATTTGATCAATTTATAAATTAAATATATTAATTATTCAATAAATCTAAAATGTGATTTGTCTTTTATTAACATATATTAGCTTTGTTCCTTTTTATAAGAGACAATTCACTTTTTAGATTCATTGAATAATCAATGTATTTGGTCAGTTTTTAGACTAGATACATTGATTATTAAATGAATCTAAAAAGTAAATTGTCTCTTATAAAAAAGAACAAAGGTAGTATGATATTTTAAAAAATTCCTTAAAAAATACTCCCTCCGTTTCAAATTGAATGTTTTTAAGAGGAAATTTTTGTTTCAGAATGAATGTCATTCTCACTTTTCAATATAGTAATAATTGTTATTTTTTCAATTGTGTCATATAATTATTACTTTATACATTATTTTCAACACATTAATAAAACTAATTTAATAAAAATATAATATTTTATAATAATGTTATTGTATTTCTTAATTATTATGTAAAAAATTTAAACGGCAGTTATTTTAAAATTAAAATGTAAAAAGTAAAATATATGGGACTATAAAAAAATTAAAAATTATATTATGAAATGACTTGGGACTTGTACCTGATTTTTTTTCAGAGACAAGTAGGAAAAATCTTGGAAATGACATGAGATGAGACTATGAACGTGGTCCATCTATTTGGCCAATTTGGTATAAAGTTCAAGATTGATTGATCCTAGTTTTAGACTTGTATCAAATGGATTGGATAATATATTTTTTGTTTCTTTGTTGCATCTAAATTTTAAGGAATTTAATTATTGGAGGAAATGGTTCACACACGTGGGAGAGGATAAGACTTTGAGCCTAGTTGATGAAAATAGGTTCAATCAACCTGATGATGTTTCAAATTAAAGCAATTCAATGGATGTCAGAATGCCATGCTGAAAATAGCAAGATAACTTATTCAAATATAATACACATCATATCTTTATGGTTAATTTGTCGCAACATAACAACTTATGAATATATTTAACGGGTAATTTAGATGTAAGGCTGAAAAATTTTATTCAAAATTTTTATAATTTTTTTTTTATTAATTTGAATTTGTTTCTATTAAACTTTACAAACAATTTGGTTCAAACTCAATCTTGTTCTAGAACTCAAATCATATAAACGAAAAAAAAAAAAATTAAACTATGTCATAGAATTTTTACGGGACAAATGTTCAATTATAAAAATAAAATGAAATTTCTCATAATTTTTAGATATAATGTTGGACTTAAATAGGAGAATTTGTTTAGTGTGGGATTTTTAATTGTTAAATTTAAAATTACATAATCACAGTAAAAGAATTT